CAGATACGCCATACGCGCGCGGACAATATACTGGGACGAGTTCGATATGAAGATTCATAGACTCGAATCGTCACACGTAGCTTACGAGTCTGCATGTACACGATAACCTGAGATGCACGCTTATTCTACCTGTGCCCTTTTGCTTATAAAAGTACATTATTCACTGATGCGGTGTATACACCACGATTCACATATATTTGTGTTGGACAATATGACGAGTCGTAGAATAACGAATCAGTAATATGTGAACACGAGCATTTTATTAGATTTGAAACTCTCATGTTGACCGGGCTAGATCCGTCAAACGCACAGGATACGGCGATGGATGAGAGATGAGCGGCTCAAAATACATCCATATGCTTGGATCAATCACTTGTCACCTGCTAGCGCCAAAGTTTCTCTTATGACGTGATTTCGCTGACAAGACCCGGCTTTTCTAGGAGGCAGTTTACAATTTATCCATCATATCCAACCTTCTTTGATGATACTTTACAAAGTTCTATACGAGTATGCTACTCAACACATAACTTTGATGCGGGCGCAAATTCAATCAAGTACACGGCACCCACAGGCATAAAACACCATACAACTCCTACCTGGCCCGTCGCCTCAAAATGTTCAGCCACAATCTCTTGTGCCTGCTTTCTGGTACACAAGCATTGCCGGGGCTTAAGCGACACGCTCCTGGAAGACAGGAGGATGACTGGTAAAGAAATTTGTGATTTGACTTCAATTTGGATGCACAAATGAGGCTTTGCGGAGTCATCAGAGGCGCTGTAAATGCTTGATTCAAGATCCACTATCGAACAGTTTGAGAGCACTCAAAACCGCTTTCTTCATCCTGGGCATAATACGAGACGTCCCTGACTGGCTTGCTCACTCACCTACTTCGCCGTCTCAAGGACTCTCTTCTTTTTGGCTCTTGCCGCAGACCCCATGTACACCATTTGAAACAGCGAGTGCTTCTTGCAGCGCTCGGGACGGGCGGGGTGCTCCCCGTCAATCTTATCAGGCCAGCCGTAGGAGGGACGCGTCTCACACCCTGCCGGCGCCATGCACACTGGACCTCTGGTGCCACAGGTCATCTCGGGAGTGTGATGCGCTTTGCAGCACGTACGGCGAATGACGTCGCTGCCGGGGGCCTGAACTCCGTATGAGGCGACTATCCCACAGCACGGGAAGTTGCACCTACGAGGAGAAAGAAACACGATTTTAATGGGAGGGGTAGAGCAAGTGAATTAGGAATGGCAGACTCTAAGCAGCCTGCATCTGGGGTCCTTGCGAGGAACGAAAATGCTCTGACGATCCTCCTTGCAGCTCGATGTTCCCAGAAGCCTGGCTTATACAAGTGTGGGGACGAGAGTAGAACGACTCAGCTCGACGGAGTCATCTCCAAGCGTTGAAGACTCGAAGCACCTCGAGGTCGCATCCAGTAGCGGTTTCGTTCTCCTGCATCGAGAAATGCTTTACGATTCCATTACGGGAAAGCTCATTCCAGCCCCTTACCTTGCGCTGATAAGGTCCTCCATGCCAGGCTCCTTATGCGCGCCACAGCGGGTCGGTCGGGTAACTCCTCGAATTCCATACGAGGGGCGCTTAGCGCAGCAGCCGTCGGCCCCCTGGCACTTGGGGCCCCCCCGGAGGTCCTTCATTCCGGGAAGAGAGTGATTGTGGCAGCAGGTCTTCTTCCTGTCCAGGCCAATATCTCCGTACTGGGGCTGCAGCTTGCACCCCAAGTGACGGCACCTTGAAGAATCGATAGGTAACATTGAGCAAGGCCAAATGGTCATGACGAATACATTCTGTAGTGGTTTCAGTTTCAAGAAGAGGAACAAGGATATAGCAAACGATTCTACGGCAGAGCAAGCATTTTCTGGCGGCCGTTCAGGCCGCCTTCTTTATTTGGGAAAAATAAGGAGATCTTCGAAACGCACCTTGGCATCTTCGTGCCGTCCTCTGCCTGGTTAAGGGGCCGCATGGGGCTTTTGTCTCGTTCATAGCACGTGCCGCCCGCGTCACCATCCTTGACCCCCAGGATGAAGCCGGAACATGACCTCCGTGCACAGCCAGGGTGCATGCAGCGGCGCGTCGTGATATCGGAGGAAGGGATGAGGGACAGGGCCTCTCTCTGAAATATGCGCGGGAACAGGCAATGAGACGAAAGAAATTTTCGTACGTCGCTGCTTCCTGCATTGCTTCGAGCTGAGAGACTGTTTTGACAAGGAGTGAAAACAGTAGACATGAAGATGAAGAATACGAAGACATGCAAAGAAAGTGGGTGACGACATTGCAGAATTAGCCAGGTGCCTTACCACACAAGCTGCGATTGAGGGTAAGAAAGAACGCCAACTGCGACTGCCTGCAAAACTATGTTACTGGTGTTGAGGCCCGCAACCGGGTTTCACAGGCGCCGGGCTTCAAAAAGACATCCTTAGCCAGAGAGAAGAGGAGTTGCTAGCCTTAAGAGGTCTCCTAAACGTACGAAAACGGCCTCCAATTATCCAGAAAGCAAGTGCCAGCTTACCTCAAGTGCCAACCTCTTACCCCTCGCATCATCCGCCACTGCAAGCGCCGCTGCTCTCGCTCTTCTGCACCCGCTACTGAGCATGTGTGCATGCCTTGCAGACGGCTGCCGGGTCTTACGGACCGTGCTTAACCCCCGGTGCTGAGAACGTGGCCTGGTCTTGCCCGCCACCAGCTGCAAAGCAGATGCCATCTCTCCATGGTGCTTCGTGTCCTTTTTGTAATTTGCAAGGTGGCTGCTGCAACCTTGGAAGCTGGTGTGGGGTTTGAGCATCTCATTCATGGTGGAGACGTGGGCGATTGTATTGACTGAATTCATCTTCCTGGTTAGCATGGTGTGCGGCGTTGTCATGATCTGCCTTGTGCAGCCCATAGGTCCCTGCCCAAAATCCGCTGTTTGCCGGAACCCCAGGACATCCTCTGAGGCATAGGAAATCAGCCCCCCAGAAGTAGCGAAGGGGCCGGTGCAGGAGCTAACCAAACGTCGTCTGCACTCGTCCAGAACAGGGGAGGGGTTTCTGTGAGGGGGGGCGCTCGTGACTTCAGATTTGGCGGGGCCCAGGCTGGTAGCTAAGGGCGTCGGGAAGACGAGGTCGCTGAGGCCGGTATCCATTTCCTCAAAGAAGACGGTGTCGGACTCATCATAAATGCTGAACTGGTTCCAAGGCATCTCCGATGAGGCAGGGGGATGTGCTGCAGCAGGAAAGTGGGGAATAGAAGATGCAGGGGAAAGGGCAGGGGAATATGGCGGAGGCTGAGCAAAATTGGGGAGACACTGAAGGCAGAGGAGGTGGGGGAGGGGTGCTTAAGATCAAGAGACAGGGAAAGGGAGGTGTAGCTTTTGGGCTGAAAGGGAGGCATGATACTCAAGGGAAGGCACTGGATTAGTTTCAGTGGTGCTACAGGAGTAGACTGAGATGAAGGTCCAAGATGAAGCAATCCAAGCGTGGCAAAACGTGCAATGGTACTGTTTGCTAGGGTTTGCAGAGCCATAGAGAGCGGAGATGCAACTCGAGAAAAGCAAACACCAAAGGAAAGAGGATGATTTCAGGATTCATGAAATTCAGCAACCACAGCGCTCGCAGAGGGGCAGATGGCAATTCCAGGATATGATCAATCTGGTGAATGGATTATCCTAGAAGTATCTTGTGGCATCCAAGGCGATCAACTTCACCTGCCATTGGATACACTGCAAGATCTTTCATTTCCTGGTCTATAGCCACTCACCAAGCTCCTTTTTGGTGGTGCTGCTCTGAGGCTGGTCCAGGGTTTCCTATTCAGCCATCAGCGTCTAAGGGTCCTCCATCAAGATTGTCTGCCACGAAGTGACTGCCGTCCCATCTTGTTCTGAAGCATTGGAATACGGGAGGGGGCGAGGAAACGCTTCCGAATGTGCAGTCAACATGCTGGCTGGCTTCACGCTCTCAAACCTGGTGACAGTGTTGAAGAGCACGCTCTAGTGCTCAGGGGTCTCTTGAGCTATCTTCTGCATCTTTTTGAATATGGCAGCCTCTGGCTGCGCGGTGGCAAGAGCATCCTCAATGTCTGAGGCCGTGGATCGGTTCTGAAGGTGTAGGTGAGCGTGTATGGGCTGGAGGGAACTGCCAAGGAAACAAACATAAAATCAGTTGCTTATAATGTGCTGGAGGGCTACTTGAATGCAAAAGCTCCATTCAAGCTTTTTCATCGTCGAAAAAACTTTGCGCCATCTGTCACGTTTGCGACCGCAAGAGTTTAAAACCGTCGGATTCGCAAATTCCATTGCGCGATTCGTTCGTTGGTTCGCTGATTCTTTTCTTGATCCGGTGATTGGTTGTAGTTCAAATCTAAGGGCAGCAAGATACCATTTTCCAGTCCGATTCGTTTTCAACCGGGCCCGAGGGCCAGCAGATTCGGAAATGCCAGAACAGCGGTTCCGTCCGGAGCTTGGAACCCCGGCCACCTCGTTCACTTTTCTCCACCCCTAGGGCTTTCACAGCTCTGCAAATGTAGGAACCATTAGTGGTGTGAGGTGGAGAATTGGGCAGGGAGTATCCAAGGACATGGGACGATTTCACGGCGGAAGTCCACGCGGTATTCCAGGGGGCATGTGTCATATCTGGAGTTGGGTAGCTGAAAAGTATATTACAATCGACGGCGAAGATTGATCTGATACGATTTCTAGATTCCACTGCAATCACCAGCAGGCGTATAGATTTTGTGGTGCTTTCGAAGCCACGTGTCCTCTAATCACACTCGGGTCAGATTTTCAGATGTTGCTACGTCAGCACCTAATTCAGCCTGTAACCAGCGTTGACGGAGCCTGCATGACGTACGGTATTTGTCAATGACGAAGAGCCCATATTTTGTCGGGCACATGCTATTTTGTCGGGCACTGATCAGGAGCCTTCTCTTCCATCCCCAGAAGAATTCTTGGTGTCCCTGAGCGACTCCGTCAGCAGGTCGATCACATTGACCGTGGGCAATGTGGAGCATTCCTGGTCCTCTTTTGTGATTCTTCTCCCTCTAGTTACAGCAAATCCCAGCTCTTCAGCTGTCATTTGCAGGGGCCTGCTGATGTCAGATATTTGGGTAGCTGATCACCCCCACGTGCTGTCTTACTCAGGAGATGCGGCCGATTTGCATGAGACATTCAAATGGCCCGTGCTGTCGGTCTAAGGACCAAATGACGACTCCTCTTGTTTCAGGTCGTTGAACGCCAAACAGCCATAAAACTGACCAACGACGCCTTCAACCAATAAATTTCAGTCAAACCGTACTACCTCTTGCCCTGAGTTCTGAACTCGGACCTCGCGGGTGTGCTTCAGACCCCTGACCCTAGGGCCTTCTGTCCGACCATCTAATACATTATCCATCGGATCAAATCACATCACGACGTCATGTACGCACACATTAAACCAATCAAACTTTTCCACCAATCACGTTCTTCGAATAGCCCTAGGCCACTCTTCACCTTGCCAACTGGCAGCTGCTGGTTCAAGTAGCAGGTCTGGTTTGCATGTCGACACACATCTCCAATTATCCGGAGAAGCTACGGAAGCGTTGAGAAACAAGCGCTGTAGGAAGGTGATTCCGGCAACCATGAAGGTGCGGGCGAGCAAATCGTTACGACTGTATCCAAAGATATAACAAGGAGCTATCCAAAATACTAGCTGTCCATAGCGTCCTGCAGTCCGAGCAAAATCACAGCTTCTTGGTGGCAGAAACTTCGCATGGAAGCCACATCTCTTGACAATCGCTTCTGCTTCACCTTACAGCTTAACGAAAGTCTGACCCCCGCCATGGACTGTAAAAACTTACAGCCAGCTTACGGGTATGGACAAAAATCTTACCATGTTTACTGAGGGAGTGGTTGCCTTAGTGGGGATCACAATCTTCTGGCTGGTGTGCACTGTTCTCTGGGCTTTTAAAGCCCCTCATAAGGGCCCATTTCCATGGCCGCTGATTGGCGCCTTCCCCCAGATCATGTGGAACTACTACCGCTATCATGTGAGCCCTCTTCTTTTATTTCATGTCTCTTTTGTTGTCTTGCTGGGCTTTGTTATTCAAGGCGTTCTCCATTTCTGGTGGTTGGACCACTGTAGCACTCTCCATTCTTTGTTTCTCATTTTAGTCGAGTGTGCCACAGCTCCTGCACCATAAATTATGATCATCTTCCTCGGCTTCCCTCTGCTCGTGACGGAAGAAGAGCAGGAGGAGTGAACTAGTTGGCATGAAGGATTGATGTCAACGGTGTAGATACCAGCTGCCCTTTAAGCTCACTTCCTGGTGATGCTCCAAACAATCAATTTTCGAGAAATCTGGAATCCACAGTTGACGATGCTTTTTAGAATCCATCATAAGACAAGGCAGAACTTCCTCTTGCTTGTTGCGAGCCTTACCAAAAAGTATTTTCTCACATGGTCTGTCCAGAGCGGCATTGCGGGTCCTACTATTCCGGTCCACCTGTCAGGATTATCCAGATAATCTTCAATGCTATCTATTCTCTGGCCTTTCTTCTTCCTCACCTTTTGGTGAAGTGAATTCTGATTCTGATACACTGATGTTTGTCAACCATGAAGTGTGTGCAAAATTGCCTGTTTAAAGCTTGTCTGAAGTTTAGGGAATGTCTCCTATTCCAGGACTGGATCTGTGAAAATTACAAGAAGTATGGGGGGACTATTGTGGTGGCCATCCCATTGGACTCGCTCACATATGTTGCGGACCCGATCTGCCGCCGTCGAGTACATCCTGAAAACGAACTTCCAAAACTACCCTAAGGTATGTAGGATATGTAGCAAGAATACAGGCATTGGGACTTCGCAACAAAATACATGGTATCGCGTGTCGCATTCAAAGAGGCCTGACAGCTGTCATTCATTTGCATAGACACATGTTTTTGCTGACCGTCCTCTTTCAGGCTTTTTCCAAAGTTGTGTGTATGCTTTCTTCTCTAGAAACAAGGGTGGACAGTGCAGAGAACCCAATTTGTTCCTCAGCAGGCAATGTAACGGCACGACTGCGCATCGACTTCTGGCTGCGCGCCAAACTCGCGGCCGCGCATCGTCCGTTATTATACGCTATCGACTTATTTAATATATCGAATCACTACGCGACACGTGTCTGGGTTACTGCTTCACCGCGTGACCGTCCGATAAGACCCACGTGCACCGCGTGCGAGGGAACCGTCCGATGAGCTTTCGAGACTAAGCTTATGGCCGGCCGAGCACCGAAGCTTCTAGGCGAGCACCGAAGCTTCTAGGCTGACACTTCGCGCTGCAGACTCAGAC